GGGCCCGCCCGCCCTCTGAACCCAACCCGGGGCGGCCACAGCCTCTCCCCTTCCTTGGGAAGCGCAGGCTTCTTTATTTCCCTCAGAGATGCTCCTGCGCTGTAAAGCCAGCGTGTCTTCGGCACGGGGTCTGGCGCAGGCAGAACAGGCAACACACTTCATCAAGTCTCCGTTTTGAAGCAGGTCTAGAGCATCTCAAAAACCCCACAAACAGCAGAATTCATACCCTTTGGGGTTTATTACTGTATTGTCATGGAGTTTTGTCATTACTTTAATCTTAATTTCCATTATTCTCCTCTCACTTCACTCCCTAATGTGAGAAAATAAGAAAAAAACCAGGGAGAACCTGATGCAATTCCTGCGTGCCATGAGGACAGCACAACTGTCCCGCTTGCTGTCAGGAGGGTCAGTCTGCACGGCTGCTAAATACAATCTTAAAGGCACCTATTAAATGACTCTCTACGAATAAAAAAAGAAGATTTAATATCTTTAAGGTGGTGGTGGGTGTGTTTCCTCACAAGGCGCAGCTAATACGCAGACACTGTGTGAAAGGAGCAGTCAATAGTGGGAAGTACTCCTAATGACAAGCCTCGATTCAGGACCCAGTAATGACTCCCTAAAATTAAATAGCCTTCCTAAGAAATGCCCAAATGCCAAGCACTCTGCAGAGCACCGACATGGACACCCACCTGTAAGGCAGCAGCAGCAGCACTCATCTCTTTCAGAAGACTAACAGTCTAGGACAGCAGTCAGCAACTTCCATAATTTAGACAAAATGATGTTATGCAATAACAGCTACAAAAATCCCTTGGTTAAATGACTTTGTTCCCATAATGTTTAGATACTTTTGACAACACAGAAATCAGAAGTATTTTTTCTTTGAGACAAGGAGCAGTATTGATATATCAACAAATAAACCTCACTTTAAATACGTTAAAAGAATTGTTCTGCCAATACAGTTCTTTTTGTTTCGAAACTACAGGTATCTTCAGGGTGATGTAAGTAAGGTCTCCAAGCATTTAAGAAGATCGGATTTATCGAATGATATTACTGATCAGATTGCACACTTTACTTAGTTTCAGTAACCCTGACAATCCTCATCTTGTCACTGCTTTTCCTCGAGAACTCCAAGAAAAATAGAGTGAATGCAGTATGCCCATGAGGTTCCCATTTTTAGGAACAATGAATTTCCATCTCTGAAAGGCTAGGCAGACCTCCTACGATGATGTCCAAAAACAAAATACAATTTTCGGCTTGATTCCATAGTGAATAAATGTGATATTTAAGAAGTCCTCTGCAATTTTTAGGTGTGGTTATTTGTTTTTGTTCTTCAGCATCTAATATAGCTTAAAATAACTTGCTTTGAGCGCAAACAGAACAAAGAACTTTTCATCATTTCGGTACGAGCCAAGCTTCCCTAAGCAGAACTCAATTTTATCTACTTGGACTGACGTGGTGACCTGCCAATGAAACATTCACCTTATAAAGAGATTGTTGGATATGAAATCAATATCTCTTTTTCTACAACCATTCTCACTATACAGACATATACCCTACGTAACACAATACATCAGGATCAGGGGAAGAAGACACACACAGTAAGACTACAACTACGTTTTGGTTCACAGATGTGACACTTAGATATCCTCCAAAACATGAGCTTTCTTCTTCAGAACAGAAAAATATGCTGTTTTGCATTAAGATAGGAAAAAAGATAGGAATTTGGATGTGCAACATGATGAAAATACTAAGCAAAAAAGCCCAACTTACCAACAGAGAACAGTAAAGGGTTTACCTGCTTTCTTGTTTTAGTAAACTGGACTCAACTACCTTGGACACTTAAAACTATTTTCAATGTCTTTGAAACAAAAACACTTGACTATCTCTCCAGTACTGTTATTAAAAGCTGTAAGAGAACTTCAGCTTGCAACAACTTATGTACGACTCTGAGTAAGTGCTATACACGAAGACCTAGACTGAAGTAGAGCAGCAGTTTTGAAAAAGACCTGACTTTACCCCCAACCTCAATTTAAGCATTCCCAAGAAAACAAAGCTGGAGAGCTAACATTTTTACAGCACAGCAAGGTCAAACTGAACACATTTCAGACCTGAGATTGTAATAGATACATACAGGTTTTGAGACTAACAATTGTGGACTATTAATAAACTCTCAGCTGCATGATGCTATTATAGACCACAAAAGAAATTTTCATCTTGAACGTACTATAGAGCAAAAAGCAGCATAGGCATTTGCAAACAGTAGATGCTATCAAGTGGCACGCAGTTCTTAAGACCTGGGCACTTAACTTAGGTGCCTGAAAGGAGCCAGACTTTTCTGAAAATTCGACCTGTTGTGAATAAGGAACAACTCTGAATTTGAGCCTAACTCAACAAGACTAACAATCTTTGACAAATAAAATATATTGCCTTCAGAAATCCTTCCCATCTTTTATCTAAATGAAGTACAAAGTTTACTGCCTATTTTAAACCACTTCCATCTAACCAAGAGCGCTTGACCTTTTCAGTCAGGCATACCACATAGCCCCCTCTGACATCAAGGCCTTGCCACATAAACAGAATTACTTGTATGGTCAGCCTGCATGTGTGGAGTAGGGCTGTCACCTCCTCAAAGCATGAGAGCTGTTGAGGACAGTGCAACATCCAGTGTCTCCAAGAAATATCCTTGGAGCCACACAGGGTATGTGGGTACCCTGCTCATGCTCCCAGAAAAAGCAAAATTCCTGTAACTTTTTTTTTTTTTTTAAATGGACAACTTGGAAATGAAGATGGAAGAAGCTGCACATTATACAGACCATCTTGGGAGATTAAGATGTCTCATGGCTATCATCCTTCTTGAGAAGCAACAAGACAGGAACTTACCTGCACACATTTTAAGTGCAAACTGCGATCTCACCATGAGCAGAACCTGTTGTTATTAAGAAAGCTACCAGAGATGCAGTGTCCCAGGTGAACACCCCTGACAAGCAACATGCTGCTGGTTGGTTTTAAGCGACCAAATCCTGGATCCTGGCCATTACCTAAACAAAAAATGCTGAGGACTAACCCTTCCTTTAAGTGTTCCAAAATTCTGAACAAAATAATTTCTGCAGGTCTGAACTTCCTCATGAGCATAGCATCAAACAGGAGATTATTAAACTGATGCAGTACAACTCTCCAAAAAAGTCTTCTTGTGAGAGAGGGCAGTCTTGTCAAGAACTCAGCAGCCAGCAAGATTAACAATTTTTTCTCTGTCCTTGAGTAACAGTTTTAAAAATAATGAACTAGAAGATGTGGGATAGAGATCACAAAATTTCTGTTTATCAAGGACATCAATCATGTTTGCTGGTGAATCACTTTTAGGGAGGAAACAACACTAAAAGGATTACACACACATTGTATTTTCATGGAAAGAGAGCTGATAGAACTGGTAATTTTTCAACACCTATACTTCTCTCTAGGTAAGAAAGCTAGGGAATGGAGAAGACAGGCAGTCAGCGTTGGGCAGAAAAATCTCTAATTCCTTTGACATCTTCTCAAGAGGAAAAGCAGCTCTTAACAAGAGCAACTCCCCATTGCTTATTTGAATAAAAACTAGTGATTCTGTGGGTCTCCAGCATTAGTCATATTTTTATAGCTTTTTTTTCTTTTTTGGCCACTTGCCTGCTCCATATGGAGAAACAGTGACTGTTACTAAGGTTGTATGTTTGTTATCCACTATATCAGTTTTAGCAAACAACATTCTTCACTTACATCCTACTAAAAATTTGTATCCTTTCATTGTAAGTATGACTGGTTTTTCCTTGGGAAGATGCTAGTTCTGGATGCACACTCCAGAACTATTTTAGTAACTTAAGAAAAACTGAAAGACATACAATAGTACTGTCATTTATGAACAGTAAATTTTTGCATCTCTGAACAAGGATTATAAGGATTAAATAAACTGAATTTAGAATACTTACCTAACCACGTTGCAATAAGAACAGAATCAATTCCCTCTATGGGCTCACATATTCTAGCAACTACTGGATGTATTTGCTGTGACAGGTAGTACTGAGTATCAATAGTAAGACTGTCTTGCTTTTGCAACTGTTCTGGAGCATATGCTCGCTGGCTGGCACTGAGATCTGATCCATCCTAAGACAGGAGAGACAAAACAAAATGTGAAAAAAGTAAAATCCACATTCAGTTCATACAAAGGATTAGGCTTCAAATATTATGCATTATTTTAACGCAGAATTCTTACACAATCACTCTCTTTTGGTTGATTTATTATGCATCCAATACAAATCCAGCAGTAGTAAAAAAAAAAAAAAATTGCATTGCTGATGCTGGCATCAACTAGCAAGTTCAAGAATGTAAATCCAGCTTGTATTATTGCAGCCTACACGTGCAAATCAGTAAGAGTAGACAGAGTAAACAGTCCCATCTGTCAATTCTGAAATGCACAATGAAAACACATTGAAACCATCAGCCCAGTTAAAAATAAGCAGAGGGCATGCATTTTGGATTCACTTTGTACTAAACGAGCATTATCATTTTGCACAACAAGCAAATTCTAAGTCCTGTAGAGCAAAACTATATCTGTTTTGCTAGGAAATTTATATTCTTCAATTCCATAAAGAAACAAATAGAATGAATGGTCAGAGAATGGACCATCATTCATTGGAAGGGAACAAATGACAGAGGCAGTAGTATCGATTTAAAAGAGCAAATTCTGAAATATTCGTAAATACTGAAAGAAACACATGGTGACATCTCAAGCCAAGACAGAAACACCACTCAGTGTTACATTACATCTTTCTCCAACTTGAAAGAAGAAAATAAGGAGAAAATTATTCAATTTGGGAAGGTAACAATTAAATTGAAAACAGTATTCATGGAGGAGTTAAGTATTAACTCTAAGAAGATGGTAGTCTTCTGAAAAACGCAACTCATTCCGTCTGCAGAATCGTATTCCCAGTCCACAACTACACCTGGAAATTTTATTTTTAATGTGTGTCAAAAATCGCAGAGCAGAACTTAAAGCAGTATTTAACAAGCATTCAGCAATAGAAGTAAATCTTAATGGGGATGGGGGGGTTGGGGGGAAGGGAGGGGGAGTACCACAGCTTATTCTTTGTTAAGTACAGACTCTTTTTTTCCAGCAAAATAAAACTAAAGTATTAACATGACACCTTCATTTTTGAGTTATGAAGAGCTACTGGCTTCAATAGGGTCAGCAACCACAGACTGAAAACCCATCACTAATAAAGACAGACTTGCAAGCCATTGGTCCCTCCCTACTCCTTTCAGACAACTTAGTATTCAGAACAAAATTAATTTAGGACTATTCAGATCATCCAGCTGCTTTGCAAGAATAATTACAATGCAATTCCTTCAGCTCCCTTCTTTCTACAAGTACATTCTTCTCTTGTATTGTGCCACTGCTAAACCATACCCATGTCCCAGCTCTCATAAGTCTTGGCAGCTTCATCATGCCAGGCTAAGAACTCCCAATTAAATAAAAAACAGTATCTTTCAGTTTTTAACAATAAAGGAGCTGAAATAGTGGTTCACTGTAGAAGTCACATTGCCAAGTCCATCAGTTTGGCGTAAGAGATCCCTTGGTCCCTCTAATCCAACCTACACTTATTAAAAAAAAATAATAAAAAAAAAAGCAAATCCAAAGCGTATAGCATATATTTGTGAGATAATGATAAGCATTTATAGGACAAACACCTGAAAACACAAAGTTTCTCAAATTCTCCAGTCTATGCAGCAGAGGTACTGCCAGATCCAATGACTATGAATTGAAGAGACACAGGTTGAGACTGGAAATAATAATAATGACACTATTTAACCACAACCAATTAGCTTTCCAAGAATGCAAGGTTCTTCACCACCAGAATTTTCTTCTCCCTAAAATGAAGACTGGATATTTTCCTTAAAAATAAATAATAGTTCCAAACAGAAATTAATTCAGAGAAATTTTATCAGCTATAATATAAAAATAGTCAGATGAGCTGAGCTGACCACCACAGTGGTTCTTTCTGGCTCTATAAAAATAAATTTATTACAGAAAACAAACTATTTTAAACGATAACAATCTCACTACAAAGAAATGCCAAACCATTTTTTCTGAGTGGAGTTGGTTTTCTTTGCCATCTCTCAAAACAATACCTAGTTCTTAGCTATTAATAAAGACATTTTTACCTGACAAATGATATATGACACTGTGTCTCCTGCCTTCACCTTTCGGCCTCCTTGAGAGTTTATCCACATGGCAACATGCACATGTGGCAAGCTTTTTTTGTCAGGATAATCCTGTGGATCTTTTGTCAATGCCTAAGAGATCAAAGGAGGAAACAGAAACAGAACTATGAGAAAAGTATTTTACTTCTGTGATGGACAACTCAGAACTTTTTTGACAAGATTACGTAGTAGCTATCTTCATCCATTTACTATTCACAAGTTCATTTGCCACACAAAAAAGTAAGATTCAAAAATTGTAATAAAGGTATTTTCTAGACGTTAAGGTTTATGTACCAGTCCTTCATATTTTAAAAATGTTGTTATTAATAAAATGAGAGGATGCTTTACAACTGTTGTCTCAAAAATGCATTACATTAAAAGCACAACAGTTCAAAAGTTACAGACATAAGTTTTTCCTTTACATACAATAAAATGCTACGTTTAAATATTTACCATCATCCCAATTCTTAGAAACAATTTATATATTTGAGTTAATAGCAATATACTTTTTTTTTTCCAAAGTAGTAAAAGAGAAGAGCATTCAGCACTTAAAGTGAAAATTATTCCATATCAATCTTTTACTAAATACTCTTAGAATATTTGCATCAGAACAGTCTTTTTTTTTTTTTAAAGTCAACCACTGATTTCTCTAACACTCATATGACAACCTGAACACATTTCTTAACTGATTGATCAGTACAGTCATACAGACCAAACAGATGCCTGGCTGGCAAAAGAAAAGAGATTTTGGATGGAGCAAATTCTGGAAATCTCTTATATCAGAAGCATGAGAGGGGCATGTAATACCCAACTGACTAGTAAAACACCTCTCTAGCAGGGCAGTGGTAGGCTTTTAAAGTTAAAAATACAGGTTTCATTGAAGATTCATAAAAATAAACCAAAACCACAATGCTGTTTGCTAAAACTCCTATAGATATAGCAGAGTATGTTACTTCTTGTTGCCAGAAAGTCTTGAATGAGATCTCAAAATGACTACTAACTTTCTTTGACAGAGCTTTGAAAGGAAATAAACTAACAATAGTATGCTTTTATATGAGTTTTCTAGAAAACAGAATATTTGATTATTTTCCATTACATTCCTCAGTTTATGTATTTTAAACTTGAAATATAAAACAACAATTTAGGAGAAAACTTCTCCTGAAAGCATGAGCTATCATGTCATTCTCAAAGTGCAGAATCAGTGAGGAAGACAGCAGCACAGGACAAGACACAGACTTGTTATTCTGAGGAAGTAAGACTGGCCTCCAGCCCTACAAGGTATTTTTTCCTCATATTGTAGGATCTTTGTAGTATGTTCCATGCTATTCAGTACCTAATAAAAGTCATGATATTTCACAGCATCATAAGGATTTAAAAGATTTTTATTTTTTTTTTATCAGTAGTTAATATATTCAGGAATAGTTAAGTTTTTCTGAGACAGGAAAGAGCTGAGACATCATTTACCTTGTTTATTTCAAACTTATTTACTGGGATCTGGCCATTTATCACGTTTTCTCCAATTTCTATAAGCCGCCTTTGAATATTTTCCACAATTATGTCTCGGGGCTGATCAGAGAGAATTTGGCCAATTATATAGCTGTAAAAACAGTCCAGAAATCAAGAAAAGCTTAAGACATGGAAAGCAAAACCATTACAAGAAACACACTCCCCTCTTCCCCTGAGTTACCTCTAGAAATTAAGCAGCCTGAGGACAAAGTCTGACACAAAATTTATAGAAATTTGCCAGGATATTTCATGTTGTGTTTTATTTATTTACTTATTTTACTAAAAGCAAATTATTGTAAATAGTTCTAATGTTAAACAGTGATTTGGAATTGCTGAGTGCAACTGGTTTCTATTTTCTGCTCCCATTTCATTTTGCCATTTATTATTCCATAGCAGGTATCTTAAGATGGGGAAGAGAACATACCAAGTAAGCAAAGCCTTGCCTATTTCTGTAAAATGTGGTTGGAAGATCTGCCAGCTGCAGAAGAGTTAGTCACTAAAGAACACTCTCAAACATTTGTATAGCTTTAATTACTAATACATTCCTAACTTGGAAAAATTTGCTCCTATTATGATGCATCTTTTCTTAGAAAATGCAAGCCTTAAGAACAGTAAGCAAGTGTGTGGTGTATTTTTACAGATGTAAAAAAGTCTTCATTTTTGGACACATTTGGACCACAATTTAAGTTAAGTTTTCAAGAGGCAGTATGCAACACAAGTTGAGTCAGCCCCCAGATGACCACTTCTCCACCCACTCCAATTTTCTTTCTATAGTGCTAAATGTATTATTTGTATTGAATTTAAGTACAAAAATGCCCTGTGCAATGACAATCAATAAATAAATCATCAATCCAGTATCAATAAAAATGAGGTATCAGAAGAGTCTTATTTGAAAAATGGAAGAGAAACAGTCTTTGGGGAAGCGATCATCTCCTCAGGCTACACCCAGCGCACTTCGAGATTTATTAGAGGAAATGAGCAGCTTCAAGAGAGTATGCAAAAACAGGTAGCAAAATTAGAGACATTTGGACTTGCCCAAGTATAAACTGGTACCAATGCCATGTAATGTTTACGATGTCCTACAAAAATCAGTTAAGATGCTCTACCACTGGCAGTAGTTACCAATCTGCACTGTTCAGGAAACAGCCATGTGATATCCAATGTCCATGAAGCATGTACTGTTTAAAACAGAGTGAGGAGGACAATGCCACAAAGAAACTCACTTGCCAGTCTCTTTTGCAAGATCACACCAGTCTCTTCGGACTATATCCAATCCTTTCAGTTCTTGTTTAGTTACATATTTCCCATCTCCTGTTGGTTCCACAGTCAGAGCAGCATATTTCTTCTTCTTTAACAGTAGCAAGGACTTAAAGACTCCATCAATATCGATTTCCAACAATTTATAGAGCTTGTTCACTTCACTTTTGATCTGCAAATGCACCAACATTAAAACCAAATGCAACACCTTAATAACTATGGACAAATTTAACTTCCAATCTAGAAGTGTATCATTCTTAAGTTTTAAAACAAGTAACATTATACATTGTGGGTTTGCACACACATTTTAAATGACTCATCAGGTAACATTAATCGTGAAATTAAGTACACAGTAGTAACTATGATCTGCTATTAAAATTAAGGTTCATGCACAGGTTTCTTCAGGATTTACAGCTTGGTATATCTAACTCCCTAAAAAAATTAAGCAGGGCAGAGAAGCATCAGACTGAACGTGACCTTGCAGATAACTGACTCCAGCCTGTTTTACTAGGACAGCTACTCCATCCAGCCTCTCACATAAATTAAGCAAACAAGGGATTTCAGAGTAGGGATCCACTTACTAGGAAAAGATAAAGAGACAGTCACTTAGAGTATGGAAATTGCTTTATAAAAAGGTGCCTTGCAAAGGCCCTTTGTTTTCTTTTTTTTTTTTTTTTCCCTTCTCCTCCTGGAACTACAACTGTGTACCACAGAGCTCTCTGTGCCTGTGTTCAGGAAAAACATGCACACATGGGCAAGCATTTATTTGTACCCTTCCCCATAATATGCCTATGTTTTCTATAGCCTGATTTCCTTGAGAGGAAAAGGTGCCATTTTTCTACACACAGGCTGTCTTATCCACACACAAAAGCTTGAAATTGCACTTGATAACACTGTCTTAATATAGTACGAAGTATCAAGTGGCTCCACATCTCTTACCTCTATTCTAAGACAAGAGAAGTGCAGCAGCTCAAAACAGCACATACCTTCAATAACAAACTTTGGTTCCAGTACACATTCACCCACCTACTGGCTCAACTAAAAGTTTCCCACTTGCATTTTTCTGTCTTCATACATTTTTACTTTACTTTCTTCAACAGAATATCGGCATATCACTCCTCAGATGTTCTGTTCTATCTTCACGTGTTCTACTCTTCATTTTCTTTCCTCTACAACTTTCTTTCCAGTATCCTCCCATCTACTCTTACTCCTCCATTATTTCCAGTTCTCTTGGCAGAGAGCACCAACTATGAACTATCCTTTTCTCGTGCCTCACTGAAGTTTTATATAAATTAAAGTTCTTCTACCATCTAATGCATACCCTCCCTAAGACAGGAACAGTACTTTCAGCAAACTTATTGGTTTTCTATCTAGCTCTGGGCTCACATTACTAGTTTTAACTCAAACTTTCCTTACAAATTTTCCATGTATATGTGTGTATTTAATTTTTCTCATTTAGATCTCCATTTTTCCTATTGCAGGAACTAACACTTTTAATAATCTGGACCTGTCCTTAGAGTTTTATATCCCTTACGTATTTATAAATTATGAAGGACATCATGAGGCAAAACCATTTTGTCAAGAGGTTTGTATCTTGTTTGTCAAAAACAGTGAAATAATTCCTCTGAACATTTTTCTGATATTTTAAAAAGTAATTTTTTTAATTTTTTTTTTTTTTACATCATACTAACCAAGTGCTTAAAAACCAGTGATGGTGCAGTTCTGAATGTACTGGCAAATCTGATTCACAAGGATGCATAGGAAATGAGAAACATAAAATTCTGCTGAACAATGACTAAAAGGGACATGGATATAAGTAATCAGGGGTAAAGAGGAGGAGTTAATGCAACCAGAAGCCTGTGAGACAAGGCATTAGATGGGGAAAATTCAGAAAGAAGATGAGATAGTTTGCTCCAACAGAAAACCAAATTAATCTCTCAAAGGAATACGTCATCGCTGAAGACAACTGACAGATTCACGCTTTACATCAGAACAGGGGTACATATGCTAACTGCTCTCACAGTAATTGTTTGCATTAAACTTATGTACCTTCCATGCAGCCTACATTAAAGCAAAAGTATCATTGAACGCAGTGTAAATATCCCACACATCAACATGAGATTTTGGGAAATAAATTAGTATGCTATAGAACAGTGACATTTCTTAGAGCGTTCCTCCCAAAAGATACAATTCTCTATCCTGAAAATTGTTTATATGAATTATGCTTAATGAGGAAAATCTAAATGGGAGAAGAATTTGCAAAAAAGTCACTCACTTTCTTGAAGAATAAACAAACAAGAAATACTGAAACAAGAAACACAAGAACCACTTCTTCATGTCACAAAGAATATTGAGAGCCACAGTTTCCACAACTGTGATACTAGGTTTGACTGTGCGCTTATTTACAGACATAAGTTTATTCACTTTTAAAATCAAGTACACAATAGGAAAACATTAATCAAACCCTTTCTGTCTGTCTTAAAAAACAAACAAACAAAAAAACCCAAAATCAACTGATATAGGATACAGAAGTACATGGGATAAAAAAAGCCTAAGATTTGACACAGAAAAAGAATCATTAAGCAAGTGACAAATTAAAAAACCTACTTATTCTCTCAGTAAGCCTGAATCAAAGTCAGAAGTATTTAACCTATGATGATGATGCTGTCAGACTTTATAAGAATTATTATTATTTAACTCTTCCTCTATGACGTTTAGCCAGCAAATGGGCGTACAGGGACAAAAATAAAACCAGAAGGAAGCCACATATACACATGTGGCGGGAGCACAATTAAACTTTCTTATTCAGTACTGGATATACACTTGAAATTATATATAGTCTTGTACATGGCAAAAAAAAAAAAAAAAAGAGACATTTCTTTCTTCTGTGCCTCCTGCTACTTGGTTACAACATCAAGATATTATTCCTTTTTCCATGCTCCTGAGATCCATCTACTTCTCAAAGTCCCAACTTAGCATGAAGGCAGAAGTATTCTAAAAAAAAAATCTGTCTTGTAGTAACTTACAATTGGTAAAGAAGCTCATTATACAATGAAATATTTCATTTTAATTTAATCACTTTTACAAATGCACGGAGTAGCTACACCTGAAGATAGGGCACTCCAAGCTTTTACTACTCCATAGCTTCCACACACAGAATCACAGAATGTTCGGGATTGGAAGGGACCTCAAAAGATCATCCAGTCCAATCCCCCTGCCGGAGCAGGAACCTAAATGAGATCACACAAGAAGGTGTCCAGGTGGGTTTTGAATGTCTCCAGAGAAGGAGACTCCACAACCTCCCTGGGCAGCCTGTCCCAGGGCTCTGTCACCCTTACAGTAAATGAGTTTCTTCTCAAGATTAAGGGAAACCTCCTGTGCTCCAGCTTGCACCCATTACCCCTTGTCCTATCACTGGACATCACTGAGAAGAGCCTGGCTCCATCCTCCTGACATTTGCCCTTAACATATTTATAAACATTAATTAGGTCTCCCCTCAGTCTCCTCCAAGCTAAAGAGACCCAGCTCTCTCAGCCTTTCCTCATAAGGGAGATGCTCCACTCCCTTAATCATCTTCGTGGCTCTGCGCTGGACTCAAGCAGTTCCCTGTCCTTCTTGAACTGTGGGGCCCAGAACTGGACACATGGTCAAGTTGTGGTTCTTCATGGCCTATTCTCTACTTTATGCCATGGATTCCTCTCTTAATACTATCTGCTCCACTCAGTGTTACAACACAGACATGTAGGGAAGTTTTAAAAAGAAAAAATTTCTTACCTTGTTCCCCAGCTTGAAGACCTCATCCAAATTGGTGCTATTAGTGTTTATCATAATGGAATCTGTGTCTCCATAAATCACTTCAAGGTTCATCTAAATGAAACAAGTTACTTTGAAAAACAAAACAGAACCACTCCATCTTTTTAAAGTCCCACCTCATTTTCAAGATTCAAAATGATCATTGTCCATATATTATCCATTAAATACTAAAAAGCGGGAAGATGTAAAGTTTAGTGAGAAGTCTGTATATTTCATTAAGACATCTGAATTTAAAGAGAATAATGAAACTTAAACCCCTGGTATCTTTAAAAAAAATCACACTGTTCAGTTCTGTACATAATGCATGTAGTTAAAATTTTACTAAATGAATGCTAGAAAAATAAGTTGGTGAACAAGCCCACTCTTGCAAAACAGCAGGAACTCTAATCAGAAACACCTCTGGACTGCTAGGACACAAGACCACCACTTAGGCTCCAAGACTGCTGGACAAATTCAGGCTACTCAGATAAGACATTTAGCCATTGTGTTTGCAAGATAATACTACAATCAGGTATCCTATTCCATTTGTAGCCACCATAATACTATTGCAGAAAAGTAATTCTGGATTTAAAAAAAAACAAAATAACAAATAAACAAGAAAACCCAAAAAACCCCTTAGATAATTCTACTTCAAACAAATGTAGTGAAAGTATTGGATAGTGGATGTAGTAACTGTATCCACAGTAACAGAACACCATAGTACTCTCTGATTAGGCTGCTCTTCTTACACTTTTTCAGACTATGCACATGGCTTCATATTTCCATCTTCCAACTCACATCTTTTTTCTTCTGCTGTAATCACAGGTAAATTACCCATGTTAGCCCTTCCCTAAGCAGAAGATCTTTCAGGGAACAAGGTTCTCCTTTTGGATAAGGATTTAGCTACTCTGACCCATAAGTTTTCTATCTCCAGGTTGAACTACTGAACTCACCTGAAGATGAACACAAACACCTACTTGATTCCTTCTCTCTGACTGACACTCTGCCCTTCATATCATCTCTCATTCTGATCCTTGTAACAATTCAAATGCTCTACTTGGAAAAGATTGTGTTCAAACACCAGCCAGACTGCTGTAATATTTTGGGATAATGGAGCAAACTCTAGATAAATTGAGGCACGTAAAAAAACTCTGAGGTGCATATGAAAGGCATAGCAAGAAAAAAGGTGAAAAGAAAAATTATCAACATCAGTAAATGTCACCATAAAAAAATGGGAGATGCACCCAATTACATAATATTAACTTGAAAAAATGAAAACCTGATGTCTTCAGTGGTAGAAAATCAATGCAGCTGTAAAAACTGCAACATGGCTATGTCCATGTTAAGCTCCATACAGTCAGAAAACCACCCAGTGATAGAGTTTAAAGGATGCCAAAAAAGAAACCGTAATAAAACACTAGAACACATGGTGTAACAGGTCTATGAGTAAACTCTAATTAGCACTGTTGCTAATTTGCTTGAAACAGTCACACATAGGCTTCAAGCAGGGGCCAGATCATATCTGTGATAGGAAAAGAAAAAAAGCTATAATCCATTAGGAAGGATTACATTTGTAAACTAGGCATCCTAAGAAGTGATTTCAGGTCTGTTTGGGTTATGGTTCTCCTAGAATAAAAAAATTTCACCAGGTGTGCTCTTTAAGGGTTGTTGTTTAATGAAAATGCTCAGCATTACCTTTTGCACCATCTCCTTGGTATGCATCAAAATCTGAAATAAAAAAAAATAATCAAAGATTAGCGTATGATATAATTACAAGCTAACGCACACAAACATATCCATTAGGTTGCTAACTCCAAATGTTCTCACCTTTCAAAACAAAGCAAATCACCTCTCCCCTGGCAACACACAGTCACCTCAATACTCTTATTACATGAGTAAATTCTCATCTGACCTTGTATTAATGCTATTATTAACTCCCCTAAAACAAGATTAAAACAAATCTCAAAATTGCATGTGCACACACACATTCTACCTTAGGAAAAAAAGAACACTGAATTAAATGCTCAAATAAAACCTAATCAGGAAGTGCCAGAATTAAGCCTCTTTCAGTAATTTAGGTCAGTCGCCTCCTTCATATCCATCATCTTATCTCTTGATGTCACTCAGTTTTTTCCCCAAAAAAAGTCCTGTCTTATTCAGTACAGCCTGATGATGCTCACTTAACAAGAACCTAGTCAATAGGTTGATTACCCTTGTAATGATCTCAGAATAGGTCTTCAAAAAGCAAACTCCTCAAGGAAACCAGAACTGGGACGAGGAGCGGGGATAAACATAGGCTACAGATGTTGCATGAATGGGCAAATCTGTGTGTAACCAGGTTTGTTCCTCAGCCAAAAGTGCATCCCAAGTTCCTTGAATGCTTTGAATAGCAATTCCCTGAACCTTATAAATAGCTATAGAGACCTCACACGAGTAGGCTACTGCTTCCATCTCTAATAGTGGTCAGTATAGTGGAGAGGAGTAGAAGAATGTATCATCTGAAACCACAGATGTATTCTCCATTTCCTTTCTTGTCAGCATCCTGGTGCTCCAAGACACAGCTCCTGATTCCACCTGGTTAGTCCCAGTTCCATGGTTTCACTCCTTTCCATCCCTACCCAGCATAAACCTCAGTTCTTTCTCTAGCTAGTCCTGCTACTCATAAACATTTAGAATTTGAATTTTCTTAAAGAGGATTACTTTAAACCACTTGTTATAGCAGTGACAGATCTGAGTCTATTAAGTGAATCCGAATGATTTGGTACTCTAGCATTAAAGATAGTCAGGCTATTTTAACAGGTTATATTAAATCTAGTAACCTAGTCTAAGTTTTATTATTTTTCATACATTAAATTGCAATACTCCTTGGCCATATTTGCCAAAAACAGGCAGAATTATGACTTGTACTCAAGAATTTTGTGACAGGGAGCTGAGCAGGAGAAATTAACAGGGATGAGGGAGGAAAAAAAAAAAAAAAAAAAAAGGAAGTCAAGAATTTTGTGACAGGGAGCTAAGCAGGAGAAATTAACAGGGATGAGGGGGGGAAAAAAAAAGGATGAACAGGGAAGAGCTGGCCATGCTCAGTGGGAATAAGGCCATCTTCAGGGAAACTTCATGACTTTCATTATGCCAAGGAGCCTAAAATGAATCCGAGTCTTGACTGTCACGATATTGACTACTGCTACTGCAAGAAGCAGTTCTGAAACGAAGGTGAAACGTCCACCTCTACATAACAGCACGTAAACAGGATGAAAACAGCGTTATTCCTCCAACATTAACGGCAAGTTTCTTTAATATTTCTGAACCTTTAGACAACCACAGTGATGAATACTACAGTATGACGCTCCACTATGCTTTTTCAGTTGGTTTTAAATTATGCACCGAAAGCTGTATTTCCCTGGCATTCTTAGCTCTGCAATGCTTGACTTTGCAAAGTTAATATTCTGTTTCAAGACAGTTTCTGTTGAGAGGCATTTTCCTAGTCACTTTCATCTTCAACGAGAAATCACTGCACCTAAGGATGGACTCACCCTCCCAAAGTACAAAGACGTGAACTAAGCAAACATAATATACCATACCCTTCAAGGTACTTGAGGACAGGTCAGGTTCCAAACCATGATGTAACTTTGACACAGCTGACTCACAACGAATGTGCTTATCAGGGTTATTGCCCAAGCACATATGGATACCTATGGATTTACACTCTTTGGGTCAAGTTCAAAGCATCCAGTTGGTTTAAAGACCATCCACTGATGCTTGCAAACTAGGTGCTCAGACAATGGGATGCCTGAACTCTGCTGAAGTCCCAAACTGCAAAAAGCTCAGCTGGCCTCAATTCTCTATGCAGACAAAGAAGAACAGGAAAATCATAGAATGGTTTGGGTTGGAAGGGACCTTAAAAGACCATCTAGTTCCAACCCCCCTGCCATCAGCTGGGACACCTTCCACTAGACCAGGTTGCTCAAAGCCTCATCCAGTCTGGCCTTAAACACTTCCAGGGAGGGGGCATCCACAACTTCCTTGGGCAACCGGTTCCAGTGTCTCACCACCCTCACAGTGAGGTGAGTCTTAACTGCAGATTCACTCTAGGCTGTATGTGCTCAAATGCACCCAATTCCATTTTAATTAGAAGCTTAAAAAAGATATTCCATTCCTATTAATCTCCTAGTGAGTGATTCAAACGGCACCACCCCACCACCTTTCCATGGAGTTTTAAAATTATTCTAAAGACACGTACCACTTGTACGTGACATCAAATTTCATATACAGCAATCAGAATTCCAGCTTATTCACCAGCCTCTCCCTTCCTTCCTCTCACGTACTAGCTAACCCCTACAGAGAAAGGTTATACCTTTCCCTTAGTACTCTAAAAGCAAACAGGAGTCCCTGAAACAAAATTTTAAAATGGGACAGAGAAATGAAAAGTCTACACGAAAAATAAAAGAAGGCCTACCATTTTCCCCTTGATAATCTCTGGCATTTTCTACTTCATTCTCTGAAATAGCACAATCTATTAATAGTTAGAAAGATAACATTATTTTTTTTTAAAATAGGATTACCCTCTACTAAAAAAATTGTTTGGCTGTACAAAGACAACTTCTCAATTGTCTCCAAGGACAAGAGTGGATGTAGGTAGTAACGAGAGGGTCGCAGACAAGTTAGCTTCATCAAGCGACTGGCATATGCTAGTGTTACCCATTCTGACAGGAGATCACTTGTAAGTGCCAACAGCTACAAAACAGAAGGATATAAAGGCTTGCTAAATTCATTAATAAGGCAGTCAGTAGTTATCTGATTTCACAGCAACACCTGCATATTTATCTTCTCATTACCAATTGGATGATGGAATTTTTTTCAAGCACATTTCAAAAATCTGCCAACTTCAAGTGTAGGAAAAAAAAATAAACTTTCTAGTTAATTTTTCCCTTAACAAAGTACAGCTGTTGAGAATAATTGTTCAAGATCTTACCCTGTAATGTCAACTGCAGCAGAACAAAGAGTATTTAATTAGCAAATCTATCCAGTAATTCAACACCTATTATATAAAATGCCTTCGTGATTTTATTCAGGATAATTTGCTAAGAGGGTTATTACTGACATTCAGATGAAATTTAAAATTCCTACGCAAGTCGAGTCATAATAGCAGTAATGATCCCCCCAATCAGGAGATACTGTGTCACACAAGGTTCTTTTGCAATGCAGCAGCCGATTTCCTGACTTCTTAATTCCTGGGCTCAGCTCAGTGAGAGCCCTTCATGCCAATATTTCAGTCAGCAATACATCTTTAATGGGACTCTATTAAGATACCTAGAATAAAAATGACTTTTTTTTTTTGTTAAAAAGAATGACAGCACCGCTATCATATCAATCATTAGCAGTTTCTCAGAAATGCACAGCAAAGGAAGGGAGGTTTATAGTGAGGCTAGGAAGACAGAAAAGAAGGAAGAAAATAGGAAAATTGTTACTTGGTAGTTTCCTTTTGCAAATAATATTGCGCTACTCATGAGAGCTGGATTGTCCCCTATTGCAGGCAACCCAAGTAGGAAGAATTAATTGCCTGGCAACCCATCTGTACAGCCATGCCCCCTCCCCCCCAGCAAACATATACTTCTAAAAACCTGTGAACTTCTCAGCACAGTGAACATCTGTGAAATTCTATTTTAACTTTTTTCTTGTAAAAGCGAGACTAGCAACACACGTTCTCTCGTCCATGAACTGCGAGTCAATATAAATTGAAAGATGGTAATTGCAGACAAGCAGTCATCAAACTACAAAATTTCCTGTCCTAATTCTACTCCAACTCACTAATTACTTAATTAAATGAGGACATGATTTAAGAAGGGAATGATTAAAAATAAACATACAAAGAATAGCTTTATCATTATCCATTATATCAAGTATTTTTAAATATACCTTATTTAAAAACCACCAAAGAGTACCTTCTAACAAGAGGATGCTTATGTGAAAACAAGCTGAGATACCCGAGTTAAAAAACAATGGGATAGGGAACAAAACTAACACACTGATGCAGTGACTTCTCCTGAAGACATAAACATTTTCCGTAGATTCCTGGGGCCACAGATATGAAAGAACACAAAGGGAGACTTAAAACGAGGCTGAAAGGACTGACCAGAATGATTACAAAAATATTGCACTAAAGATGTGTGTGTGTGTGTGTGTGTATATATATATATATCTCTATATATAAATAAATCACTTATGCATTCACTTTGAACAAGGAGAAAAACTAATGCTCATAGGGCCTTGGCAAAAACTGTATTTTTGAAGACTACCGGTAGTTTTCTAGTGTAGACCTGATATTTTTTTCCCACCTCAGCTGTTTATTTGTGCAATTATATAGTAAGAAAATAATTCTGTCATCAGCTTTAGTAATTCGTATTAGGTAGTCCTTCCTATGACACGCAGGAACAAACAGGCAAGAAGAACTATGCTACACTATGTAATGCCATTCACTAATCTACATAAATATTTCCGAAGCTCTGTATTTTTGTAAACTATTCATTAGCTTTGCTAGTACTTTGTGATAAGTAACCTCTAGCACTGATAAACCGCAGCCACTGGATGCTGCAAAAATCTTTTATTAAGGAGGATTTTCAAAAAAGGTTTCTATTGCTGGACAAAAAGGCACATATGCCATAAGCATGAGTGACAGAAATGGAAGTCTTGTTTGCCACAAGGAATGAAGCATCGCAATACAGCCTTTCCAT